TCTATACTTTTGACATTTGCTCCTCTGAGGATAGTAAGAGGTGGAAGACGTAGACAGTAATGATCTTCGGAACCATGAAGTACCATGGGACTGGGACACAAGGTCTACAGAAAACCCACCCACACAGACAGGTACCTACACAGGAACTCCAACCACCACCCACAGCAAAAAAGAGGCATAATCAAAACAACTGTGAAGCTCAGTTTCTCAACACTGACCTCGACCACCTGAATTGGGCCCTACAGGCAAATGGCTACTCCAAAAATGAAATCACAAGAGCCATCAAACCAAGAAAACAACACTGAACTGAAGAAGAAAAACAGCCACCCACAATCAAAGTATTTCTGCCATACATCAAAGGGGTCACAGACCGCACGGGGAAACTTCTGGAAAAACACAACTTACAAACAGTATTCAAGCCCACCACAAAAATACAACAAATGTTACGGTCAGCAAAGGACAGAAGGGACCCCCTCACCACTGCAGGAGTATGGCCAGGTATACATTGGAACCACAAAACGAAGCAGCCACACCAGAATCAAAGAACATGAGAGACACTGCAGACTAAAACAACCAGAAAAATCTGCAGTAGCTGAACATGCCATAAAACAAACTGGACATGAAATTCTATTTCAAAATACTGAAATACTGGACAACACCAGCAATCATTACGTCAGACTGTACAGGGAAGCCACTGAAATCCATAAGCATCAACAAAACTTCAACCGGAAGGAGGAATGTCTGAAAGTCAACAAAACCTGGCTTCCAGCTCTCAAAAACACAGAGTGCAAAAGGTGAACGAACTCTACCCAGCCACACGGTCAGGGGATTACTGCACACAAAAGACCAGCTAATGGCACCCATCAACCACAGGGACAGATAATCTCCCCTCCTTATCAAAACATTACATCCACAACAAAACACATTAATCAACCATCTCCTGATTAGGACAATAGCCTACCTCACAAACTAGCCTTCTCACAGCCACAAATACTCCACCCACTCTCAAGCCTACCCAGAGCACAGTTTGCTGTCCTCTGAAGATGCCAGCCACAGAGACTGGCGAAACGGTAGGAAGAACCACTTTCAGAACACGGCCAAGAAGCCCGAAAAACCCACAACAACCATTAGATCCCGGCCGTGAAAGCCTTCACGAATACAGTAATGATCTTTGTCTGCCATGGGGTTTTTGTGGAGACGGTGCAGATGAACGCCTTCTCCACAAAGGGCAGTAAGAGCATTGTTGCTGTTGGTAAACACCAAGCCTCTTCACAGCCAAGTGTTTCTTCTGGAGGTCATCTATTATGCCATCAGTTTTGGTATAGAACAGACCATCCCCATCAAAGGGGAGATCATCAATCTCGCAACAGACATCATCTGCAAAACCAGCCAAATGAAGCCGAGCATGTCATCTGACGGTGCTCATGGTTGCAACAGCCTTGGCTACGCAGTCCATGACATGACAGGCTGAGTGCATTTGCTGTGCTGCTACTGACATAGCTTCTTGGCATACCGCTGTTGCGTCTGCCCTGGCTGCCTCCAGTAGGCCATCCAAATGCATCTGAAGCTTGTTTAGCAACACCTGCTGATAGAAACGCAGCACTCTCCCCCCCTGGTATTTTGCCACCCGAATTGCCAGCAAAGCCATAAAATGTAGTCACCTGACCACTCCGTCAAGAGCCTTCTTTGCTCTGTGGAACATGGACCTGCCTGCCTTTCGAGTGAATCTGGGAGGTCGCTACAATAACCAAATTTGAATGGGGAATCTTGAATAGAAAGGCAGCCCCCTTACCCTATAAAATTCTCAACTCTCTTGCGCATGGGCACTGACGAGATGGGCTTTTTCTAGGCATCCTTTGCCAAAGCCAGTAGAGACAGAGCCTTCTTTGCTCTGTGGAACATGGACCTGCCTGCCTTTCGAGTGAATCTGGGAGGTCGCTACAATAACCAAATTTGAATGGGGAATCTTGAATAGAAAGGCAGCCCCCTTACCCTATAAAATTCTCAACTCTCTTGCGCATGGGCACTGACGAGATGGGCTTTTTCCAGGCATCCTTTGCCAAAGCCAATAGAGACAGAACCATATTTATTTATTTATTTATTGCATTTATACCCCGCCTATCTAGTTGAACAACCATTCTAGGTGGCTACCATCCCTATATGAATTGGGGAGGAGGCACTGGAAGTAATCTGATCATAGAGATGATCCAAGTGCTGAGGAGAGAGTCTGTGTGTAGAAATGTTAAGGGAGTTGGTTATATGCAGCACAAAGTTGAAACAGACCTTTACATTTCCAAAGGAGATGGTGGATTTATGTCTTCCACCTCCGTATCCAAGGTGGTGATCATGGCTGACTGAGGCGCTGATTCCAAATCCGAAAGGAGGAATGAATCCAAGAACGAAGAAGAAGCCAAGGATTGGTGAGACTCTAGCATTTCTGATGGACACTACTGCTGCTTATGGAGGGGTTGAAGCATCTTCGGATCCGGGGCTTGTCCTTGCTGGCGATAATCAGATCTGACAACAGCGGAGGTAGAACAGGGTGGCTGCTAAATCAGAATCTGCTATTGTTGGGAGGATCCAAAGGCCATTTAACTTGAGGGGGAAGTCTGGTGGCAATGGTCTACCTCAACAGCAGTTGGGGTAGGGTAGTGCACTTGCTGGGTTGGGGCACATTGATGCTGAGCAAGATTGGGAACAGCAAGAACCAAAGGAGGTTTCCAATTATGAAGGCCAGGATTGGCAAGAGCTGGAATGGAACAGTGAACCGGGAGCAGGGAGTTAGCATAATCATACCTACATTATTTCTGGGCATACCTCAATGTTGAGTGAGACCGGGCAGGCACAATTGTTACTGAATGTAAGAAGGGAGTGGTCTCTTGTTGCTGAGCTCAAATCCAAGAAGCCAAAAGAAGACTGGTCACTGGTTGAGAAAATGATGCCGGCACTGAAAGAGAAGGCACATGTGTCTGGCTGGGTGCCACAGGAGGCGGTTGTGCATAGAGAGTGGCAGGAGCCACAGACACTCCCTGAATCATTGGAGCCGACACAGATGAGGGAGCACTGGAAGGCATCCCCTGCAAATAATGCATGGGAGAATACCATGGTGGTTACAAATAGACTCCTGGCTGTTCTTGACGAGACACTTGGAGGTAAGATATAGGAAAATATTGTGTCGGCTATTTGAGTAGAAGTGGACAGAGACATCAACTGCAATCCTTGAACTTGGAGAAAGGCAGCCGAAAATCCATTTGGGAGCTGGAGCAGTCAGATTCGGAGGCTGAAATTGGGAGGTAAGTGCCCCAAGTGATAGGAGCGAACCTGTCAGGGCAGTTGGATTTGAAGTCTGAAGCTGGAAAAGCAATGCAGACAGAATAAAAGCTGTCAGAGTGGTCAGATACAAATCTTGAAGCTGAGAAGGAGACCCAAACTCTGCAGCTAGAACCAAGGTCCTCAAACTTTGAGTCACAGGTAAAGGACACTAGAAAACATCAGTTACAGTAGAAGTTGACGGAAGGGATAGTAGCTAGAGGGGACCTCCTTGAAAAGATCTAAAATCCAAGAGACGAGGTACTGGTGGAGATGGAGAGCAGCAGCTTGAATGCAAAGGCAGTGATTGAGAATGCTGAAGTGGTGAGAGACCTCCCAACAGATCTGGCAGGTTTTTGACCAGGCTGGGCTGGCGTGTTCCTCCCAGGCAATAAAGACACTGGGACTGCCCGTCCAAGAGATGAATCTTCCTGCCACAAGTCGTACTCTTCTTGAAAGGGCTCCCTGAGGCCATTAAAGGAGAAAGGAAAGGGGGGGGAGAGATCTAACAAAACAAAACAAAAAGTAAAAGGTCCTACCCAAATAATGTGGAAAATATACAGTGGTGCCTCACAAGATGAATGCCTCACCTGATGAAAAACTCGCAAGACAAGAGCGTTTTGCAATTGTTGTGGTGACTCGCAAGACAGTTTTTTCTATGGCCTGCTTCGCAAGACGATTTTTTTCCCCGCAAGAGCGATGCCTCGCAAGACGAAAATAATTCATTCTTCTTGCAGGGTTTCCCATAGAAATGCATTCCAATGCATTCCTATGGGAAACCGCGCTTTCACAAGATGAAAATTTTGCAATACGACGCTACTCACAGAACGAATTACTTTCATCTTGCGAGGCACCACTGTATTCTCTCAACAGAAAGAACATGCAAAGGAAAGCCGCAAAGAGACAAACAGTAAGCTCAAGAGTGTTCCTAGCTTCCATGGTGGTAGCCAAGAGGAACTGCGGGTCAGGAATTTGTATACCAATAAATGCACACTGCGAGGGGAATGAGAATAACCGTTTATTTTTAAGTTCTAGAATGTTCAGAAAATGTGTGCTACAGAACCTATGTGTGTGATTCATGGAGGCCACGAAGAAACACATATTACCCATCAATGAATGATAAAACAATCTTACTACTTTTAATATGCATGGAAATGTATTTAACTGTCACCAATTACAAACGGATTGGGGGGAGGACATACAATCAGCTTACATTAATGTATATACCAATGGTTCCCAACCTTTTTCAAATCATGAATCCCTTTTATTATAGCCAAGTAACCTGCGACCACCCCATCATATTTGCATAAAAAAGCATTTTTAATGGGGTAAAGTCATCCCTTCTCAAAAAGAAGAGGCTTCTTTCTCCTCAAACGAGCTTGTTTTTCATATATACACATATGCATTAACTTTAATATCCCAATCCAAAAGGTCATGGTAGAAATTATTTAGCAATAGCTACAACACATATAAGACAAACCCTCAGAAAACACTTGGGGATCATGATCCCCAGGTTGGGAAACACTGCCATATGCCTAGTCCTTATGTACATGCATAGCTGATCTGTCTTGTAGAATTCCACACTGATACGATTTTAACATCCAATAAAAAATGGACGACATTAGAAATTAAATGGATCCCACAGTGCAATACAACTGACTACCCACTGCACAGATGGAAAAAATTCCTACCTGGACTATTCTCACTTGTCTTCTTAGGGCTCATTGGTACAGATGTCTGTTCTGCTATTTCTTTTTCTTTTCCTTTTCGCCGAATTGGACTCAGGGAAGGTGGATTTGTTAGAGATGGCAACGTTGCCTTGAAAAATAGTAGCCATTATTAGTTAAGGTAAAGGAAAAGTAAAGGTCAATCATACTCATCACAGCAATAAACCATACATATTAATACAATATTGCAAGACAATTAAGATCACTTATCAATCTAATTCTGACAGCATTACAAACAGGTATAACTAAAAAAACAGCAAAATCTTTAAAGCTTTTTCTTAGTGTAAGTCTAGAAAAGTTAGGTTATAAGAATTAATGAATCACTTCTGCATCTGACTAAATGTTTTTATTCAAACAAGTGAAATCGGTGTAATACTATTAATTAAAAACAAATGAAATGTCACATGTTTCTTGAGATATTTGATCTGGCTATGGTGACACATCCCTTAGTTACATCTTGCCTGGATCACCATAATGCACTCCACGTGATGCTGCCACTGGAAAATGTTCAGAATTTAACTAGTCAGAATGCTGCAATCAGGCTGCTGACTGGAACATGAGTTTATGCAAAGCATATAACTCTCTTATTAAACCAGCTTCACCAGCTGTTGGTCCCTTTCTGGGTCCAAATTAACCAGCTGATGATGATCTAAAAAGCTCTATATGGCTTGCATCCAGCTATCTGAAGAACTGTATTTTCCAATACAGTGGTGCCTCGCACAGCGAGGTTAATCCGTTCCGGATTAACCCTTGCTGTGTGAAAACATCGTTGAACGGGGCACGAAAAGCCATTGTTTAATGCGTTCCAATTGGGCCGAATACTCACCGTTCAGCGATGCTTCCCTATGGCCGGCAGCCATTTTCGCGCCCTCCCCTCGCTTAACAAGGGCGCAAAAACGCTGCACGCGGCCATTTTGGGGCTTCCGGCGGCCATTTTGTAGCCGCGGAACAGCTGATCGGCGGGTCGCAAAGCGAAGGTTGGTAAGCAAACCGCTTACCGACCTTCGCTCTGCGATTTTTGCCCATTGGGGCCGTCGCTCTGCGATTGCATTAGCGATCGGAAAAACGTCCCCGTAGAGCGAATTCATCGCTCTACAGGGCGCTCGTTCTGCGAGGCACCACTGTATTAGCCTCCCACACTAATAGATCTTCCAAAGAGGCCCTTATCTCAGTCCCACTACTCTCATAGACTCAAACACCTTTCTTTTCAGCTAAGCTTTGAAATGATTTGAAAAAAAAATATTATTAAGATGTGAATATGGTAATTTTTAATAGTGTTACCTGTTTAATTGTTTATTATCACTGTATCCCACTGTTTTAGTTCTATGAGTATTATACTTTAATTAATGGTAAGATACCTTGAGTACCTCCTCTAAAGAAAGACAACACATAAATTAAGTAATAAATAAACATGCTAATTTCATTTCACAATTTTGAAATAGAAGAATGGTATTTGTGCACTATACCAAACACATTTTTTTCAATTTTCTGAAGTGTCATTAGACTGCTGTTTTTACTGCAACAAACCAACTCAGTTAACTAACCCCTTGCCCATTTGGAACTTACTAGTTTATGATTTGTCAGTGGGTTTTTTAAAGACTGTTTAAAATGCTTAAAAGTACTGTACCTTTATTGTTGGGCCAGGAACTACATCATCCAGTACATGAGCACAGATATTAATGATCTTCAGCAAATGAGAAAAAATTTGCTCTACTAAAAGAACAAGAGTTCTGTCAGCTAGAGCTGGCCAAGGCTCCTCCTGCTTAGCAGCACCAAGATTGGCATCATCTTCATTAGTCCATGGATTTTTCAATGATTTTGAAGCACTAGCTAAATGATAACAAATTTATTTTTAACAATAATTTACATTCAACAAGATAATGCATTATTCAATATGCACAAAATTGCAAAGCAAATAAAATCTGCTAGAGATTGATTTTAAACCTCCTCCCGTGGACACTGAAAACCCTGGATAATAGTGAACGCTATATGTCCCACTCCTCACTTGCAAAAAGCTATTTTAAAAAATCAACTCAAAATTAGAAAATAAAATCCACTTTAATGTTTTTTATTTTATTAAAGAATATAAAGCAGAAAAAATACAAAACAAACAACAACAAAATAAACGAATTAATGCATACACAGAACAAGTTGAACTATTCAATTATACATTAGTGCCCTCCTACATTGGGACCATTCAAAGACCTGTTGCATCAATTTTTGAAATACGACTGCTGTGACGTTCACCTCTATGAAGCACCTACTTTTTGTGCCCTCACAAAGGTTCCAGTCTTTGTTTCCCTCACTGCCACCAGTGGATTACCTCTATCCACAATATAAAAGACTTTTGTCCAAACACTTGTCTGGTAAATGCAAACAGAACTCATTTACTGAAGTGTAGCAAAGTTAGTAATAATCACAGATGTTCTTCAGTTGTTCATTGTACACAAGCAAACAATTCACAGGTCTCTCTACACAGACTTTCTTCATGCCAAATAATTAATTACCACCTTCTGTATCTATTTATCTTAACCAGCTTAGCTCTATTAATATCTGTTCCTTCTCTCTCTGACTCTAGACTAACTCTCACTGACTCACTCCTGACCTACTCTTGACTGACTGACTCCTCCTCTCAGCCTCCACCTTTTAATCTCTCCCTCGGCTCTGCCTCTCCACTGCATTTGCATAGAACATGAATAATGCATGACTTATTTTGCATAACAAGGGGTGAACGCTACAATTGCCCATTCCCCTTACAAAACTGCATTGATTCTTTTGAAGGTGTGTGAGCCTTCCCTTTAAGCAATACATAATGAAAACTCCACAAATAGCTGTAAAAGTATTCTTATTTGTAAAACGCTTTTTAACCTTAACATGACAAGTTAACTTATAATTAATTGGTATATTCCATACTTTTTTGTAACAGTCACTTAATGGAAATTCTTGCTTTAATTTCCAATTCTTCAAGGGCAGCGTGAATGTTTTTGACCCCAATGTCAAGATGGGCTACAGAGAACTGATTTTACAACCCTGGGTGCCCAGACATTCTTAGACTACAACTCCCAGAAATCCTGGTCAGCACAGCCAGTGGTGAATGCTTCTGGGAGTTTTAGTCTAAGAACATCTGGGAACCCAAGGTTAGGAATCACTCTTCTACAGGATACCCTCTTGTGGTCATTACTATTTTAAAAAAAACACCAAGCAAGGAACAATACCTGAACCTGACCAATTGACAGGTCTGTTTTTCAACCAGTGATAAGACTGGAGTGTCTCACAAAGCTTGTTCATTTCCCACCTGTATTCTAGATCTTTGCTCATCTTGGCTTTCAGAGTCCACCAGGGATTGAAAGGGAATCCAGATTTTACGCTTAGCGAGCGCTCAGTTTAGCGACAAAATCGCTTTGCGACGAACTTTTTGCGATGTTCCCTATGGGGGAATTTTGCTTTACAATGATCGGTTCCCTGCTTCGGGAACTGATCATCGCAAAGCGACCATTTTGCACAGCTGATCGGCGGTTTCAAAATGGCCGCTGGGTAAACAAAATGGCCCACTGCTGTTTTTTGGGACGGATCCCTCGCTTAAAAGGCACCGAAAACGGCCACGCTATGGAGGACCTTCACTGAACGGTGAGTTTTAAGCCCCTAGGAAGGCATTAATAAGGTTTTAATGCGTTTCTATGGGCTTTTTAATATTGCATAGCGACGTTTTCATTCAACAGCAATTTTTGCAGAACTAATTAACGTCGCAATGCGAGGCACCACTGTAATAATCAATTTTTCCAGGGAAACAAACTCTAACATTGCCAAATCATGATAATATAATTTGTAATAACTATTGCCCTGTCTAATCTTCCATTTTTGAGCAAACTTGTGGAGTGTGAGGTGACTTTTCAAACAGAAAAAAGCCTTAGAATATACTGATTATCTAAAGCCAAGGACAGACTTGATTTTGGAACTGTAATACACATTTATTCTGGTAGATGACATATACTGGGAAAAGGAGAAGGGAACTGAGTGTTTCCAAATTACAGTCAACCCTCTACTTACGAATGTCCCTACATACGAACTTTTCGATTTACGAACAGCGCTTACATACGGACTTTTCGATTTACGAACAGCACCGTTCGAAAAAATTGGCATTGACTTGCGAATGGAGCCTTGACCTATGAACGAGATCGAGGCTCCATTCACAAGTCAATGCCATTTTTTGCGAACGGAGCTGTTTGTGCCTTTGGAGGTCTGAAAGGGCTTCCCCCCCTCTAATGTCGGAGGAAGCAGTTTGAGAGCTCCAAAGGTAAAAAGGCAGGGAGAAAGGACGGGGAATTCAAATTTCCAGCACTTTCTCCCTGCCTTTTTGCCTTCAGAGGTCTCAAACAACTTCCTCCAATGTCGGGGGGAGAGCCCTTTGAAATCTTCGAAGGTGCCGATCACAGTGGCAGGGACCCAGGGAAGTCTCCCAGGGCTTGCCCGCCACCATGGGAGACCTCCCTGGGGGTCCCCACTGCCGCAATCAGCACCTTCGGAGCTCTCAAAGGGCTTCCTCCAATGTCAGGTGGAAAGCCCTTTGAGAGCTCCGATGGCATAAAGGCAGAGAGAAAGAGCTAGAAATTCAAATTTCCTGCCCTTTTTCCCTGCCTTTTTGCCTTTGGAGCTCTCAAAGGGCTTCCTCCGATGTTGGGGGGAAAGCCCTTTGAGACCTCAGAAGATAATTATTTGAAATGCTGGAACGGATTTATTCCGTTCCCCTGCATTTCAATGGAAAATGGTACTTCAACTTACGAACTTTTCAATGTACGAACGCCGTTCCAAAATGGATTAAGTTCATAAGTCGAGGTACCACTGTAGTGGCATTAATAAAAATGAGACATTAACAGTGCTTGGGGTTAACAGGAGCAGAACAGAAAAGAGAAATAAGTCCAGTTGTACCAGTAAAACTCCTAATTAAGATAAAACCAATCAATATAGTTTTATAAGATAAAACCAAACTCTCTTACCAGCAAGCAAATTTCCAGCCAGTATCAAAGCATCTTGATGGGCAGACAGATCTAGCGGGAGCCAAGCTGATGAAAGAAGGGACAGAACCAAACCTGCCATTCCAATAGTGGTATTCTTTTGAAATTCTTCAGTAGAACCCAGTAGGGAAAAACTGGAAGTTGAATTATAAATGGTCAATTGCCACAAAACTGACAAACGCAAAACAGAATTAGTAACACACAAGTGATAAAATACAGTACAGTGGTACCTTGACTTACGAACGTCCTGACTTACGACCATTTCAAGTTACAACCAGCTCTGGCTGCAAAAATTTTCTTTGATTTGTGGCTGGAGCTTCCGGCTTCAAGTTACAACCAGCTCCGGCTGCAAAAATTTTCTTTGATTTGCGGCTGGAGCTTCCGGCTATGAACAGAAAAAGGCAGGGGGAAAAGGCAGGGAATTCTAATCACTAACTGCTGGTAGGCGAAGAGGCTGCTTCTTTATAGCTCTTTCACCCCAACGGTTAGAGTGAGTGCGATTGGAGGAGGCTTCGGACTGCCTGGTAAGGTAAGGTGCTGCTTTTTGCTTTTTTAAAACTGTTCTGGATAGGTTTTGCAGCGTGGTTTTGGGCTGGGGAGGTTATATTTCTGTGCTGTGATGGGTCTTGGGGGTTTGTTTGTCGGGATTTTTTCCCATTTCCTATGGATCTTGGTGGGTTTGTTTGCTTTTTAGGGTTTTTTCCCCATTTCCGATGGGTCTTAGGGGATTTGTTTGCTTTTTGGGTTTCTTCCCCATTTCCAATGGGTCTTGGGGGATTTGCTTGCTTTTGGGATTTTTCCCCCATTTCCGATGGGTCTTGTGGGGTTTGCTTGCTTTTTGCTTTGCTTTTTTTGCATTTCCAATGGGTCTTGCATGCTTCGATTGCTTTCTGCTTTGCTTTTTTTGCATTTCCAATGGGTCTTGCACTTTGCTTGCTTTTCTTCCCCCCCTCCCCTTCAGCCGGAACAGATAAATTGCGTTTCCGATGAGTCTCGCGGTGATTTTTGTGTGTGCGTGATTTTTTTTCCTTCAGCCAGAACGGATTAATCGCATTTCAATGGGAAATGGTGCTTACAACCATTTCGAGTTACGACCAGAGTTCTGGAACCAATTAAGTTCATAAGTCGAGGCACCACTGTACATGTTAAAATCAGAAGTGAAACAAACATGCAACTGCCATTTTCTTTACCACTTCTGTTAGATAAGTACCAAATATTTCCCATGTCACACATCCCCTCCATCATTGTAAATAAAAATTCTCATCTCATGTCTCCAGCAGGTTTTTATATCTTTGCATAAAATGCAAAGAAAAAGTTATATAGAATTCTATACTAAATAGCTCAGACTCTAATTCATGGGAAAGAGTTCTTTTTCCTCACATTTTTATATACTATTAAATTAAATATCAGATATCTCAGTCCTTGATCTGATAGCCTCTGACACTAAACTTCTTCTCAATACGGTTCAACTACAAATAACACAGAGCAGAATTTTGATACCTGGATGACTGTCTTCTGTTTTTGTAAACATGAACTCTAGAAGCTTGTATACTGGAGGAAGAAACATACCCACAGTGCCATCCTACATTCCAGGTGCAGACTGGAAATGATGTGGACAGAAGACACAAAGCCTCACAGCAGCCAAACTGAAAACCCCAAACAGAAAATATATTACTATCAATAATAAGGAAAAATGTGCAATGACATGGCTCTTCCTAAAAACAGCAAATTAGAACACTTCCCAAGAAAAAATGCATTGCCCAGCATTATCTGTTTACATCTGACTTACGTACAGTATACAAAACAGAACCTTTGAATGTTAGAACAGATTACCAGCATTTGAATGGAAATATATGATAAAAATATCTAAGCAAACTCAATGTGCACTAAATTATAGTTTTAAATGAATTCAAAGCTTCATGTGGAAATTTTTTTTCCTAGAATATTTCACTGAGGCCTGTCAGTTACTACTGGACAGGAACACTCCATCAGCTCACGAATGTGAGAGCTGACCTTTATGTACTTGCCATTGGTATGCAAGCAGAGATTCCTGTTACAGAAATCCATCTCATGTTTGCACAGGGAGATACTGGGCATGTCCTTGGCACAAGGGTTTAAAAGTCAAAACATCTGCACTACATCCATTGCATGAGCACTTTGCCTCAACAGGATCCCTGCCCTTGGGGAAAATTATACAAAAAAATTAAACACTGGCAAAATGTTCACTCCACATGACTAGAAAGATGGAACAAGACATTGTATTCCAATATTTAGATGTCATTGTAAACTGTGGGATATAAATGATGTATACGTAGGGAGGTTAAGACAATGCCTTTAACATTAATTAATTAATTTGATTTATACCCCACCCATTTGGTCTATAAGACCACTCTAGGCAGCTTCCAATATAAGATAAAACAATAAAATAACACAAAATATTACATGAATCATACAATAACAAATACAATACAAAGACAGAATAAGAAATAAATAAAGGAAAAATAAAAAGAAAAATCAGATATTAGCTGGAGGGAAGGCCTGAATATATAGCCATGTTTTTAACTGACTTTAAAGGTGCCCAGAATGGGGGCCGTGCGAATCTCCAGAGGGAGGTTGTTCCAAAGCCGAGGAGCCACTGCCGAGAAGGCCCAGTTCCGTGTATTTTCCTTCCGGGCCTCTCTTGGCATCAGGCTCCTCAGCCTCACCTCCTGACTCGCACGGGTGATCCCGGTAGATCTTGGTGGGAGCAGGCGTTCCGCCAAATATCAAGGTCCTAAATTGTTTAGGGCCTTATAAGTAAGCATTAAAACGTTGAAGTCGATGCGGAAACGAATGGGCAGCCAATGCAGCATGGCCAGAGTAGGAGAAATATGCTGGTATTTTCTCACTTCACTAAGGAGTCAGGCCACCGCATTCTGCACCACCTGAAGTTTCCGCATCAGCCTCAAAGGCAGCCCCACGTAGAGAGTGTTACAGTGGTCTAATCTTGAGATTACAAGCACACGCACCAAGATAGGGCCGCAGCCAGGAAATCCGCCAAAGGTTTAAAAATCCAAATGGTAAGCTGCTGTAGGAATGGATAGGTCTGAAAGACTCACTGTTAGAGATCTTGATGATGATGTAGTCAAGGCATGGGAAACAGCTGAAATAACTCTAGAAAGATTATTTTCCATTGTCACATCTGTTGGACTTTGAACCATGCTATAACCTCTGTAAGTCCTAGAACAAAATCAATCCCGTTTGTAAACTTTCATAGCAAAGATTTTGTTACATTAATGGCAAAAAATCATTTTATGATTAAGTACCATATTTTTCCATGTACATGACCCCCCCCAATGTATAAAACAACCCCCTAATTTTGACCCTTAATGGAGGCGGAGGAGCAGTTAATGGGCAACTGCTCCTCCACCTCCATCTCCTGCTGCTGCTGTTGTCTCCGCTGCCTGCCCGCTTACCTCCTCCAGTGCGACTGCCGGGGCTCACCTCCAGCTCACGTCACTACCTTGTCCCCAGCCGTAAGGAGATGATCGCTGGAGGAGGTGATCCAGCGGCAGCACCAGGAAGAGGCGCCTGAGCACGTGTGAGAGTGCTTGTTTGCCTCCACCTCTGCCTCCTGCTGCCTCTGCCACTGGAGGGGACAAGGCGCCGACGCCTGAGCGCGTGTGAGAGTGCTTGTTTGCCTCCACCTCTGCCTCCTGCTGCCTCCGCCACTGGAGGGGACAAGGCGCCGACATGAACTAAGCCCGTCAGTCCCACTGGAGATGGTGATCGGGTGCGTGGGGGAGGCAGCAGCAAGAGGCGCCCGAGCACATGTGAATGCTCCTTCACCTCCGTCTCCTCCTCCTCCTCCTATTGCTGCTGCTCCCTCAGGGCCACCAGAGAGGACAAGCCATGAGCCCTGGAAGAGGCAACTGGGAAGCGGCAGCGGCAGCAAGAGGCACTCAAGCAAGCGTGTGACTGCTTCCTTCCATGTATAAAACGACACTCAATTTTTCCTCTAATTATTTTAGGAAAAAGTGTTGTTTTATAAATGGAGAAATACGGTATCTTCACCATATGGTATGTTATTTTGAATTTTCTAGTTTCTGGTTTGTGCTTTTCCTATTATCAGAGGAAATTTAGGACTACCTCACTCTAGGGCAGTTGTAGACAAAGTTCAGCCCTCCAAATGCTACTGGACTACAACTTCCAGTATTCCTCACTCTTGCCATTCTGGCTAGAGCTGATAGGAGCTGTAGTCCAGCATCACCTGAGGACCACCCTGTGCTCACCTCTGTTCCAGAGCACTAGTCTGAAGTCAGTCCTTTAACTAGATCTGGATCGCAGCATTTCCCCATCTGACCTGCACATCTCAGTCTCTCCAACACTTCTTACTGGAATACAAATGAGCCACTGAAGTGACAGGCAACTTGCAAAGTAAAGGTAAAAGAAGCACAAAAGCAAGCTGCTGGCAAAGGAACAGAGTGTTTTGTCTCCTCCCTCAGTACCCCATTGCATGTCCTTATCTAAAGAAGCAAGAAGTGGAGAGAACATGGATTCGGAGGGTGGATGTCAAGGTCAGAGAGAATGAAAGGAGAAGAGTAGATGGAAGGAAGAGAAAGACTGTCTTTTAAAAATCCCCACTACCAGACTGAAGTATGGAGTAGAGAAGACCTTAAGATAAAAGAATAAGGTAACAGTCCTTCCTATTCACTGAAGCATGTAGTTCTTGAAACACTGCATGTGAAGAAATGGAGCATTTCCTATAAAAAAGATTCCACACATCTGTGTTCTAGATCAGTGGTTCTCAAACTGGGGTCCCCAGGTGTTCTTGGACTGCAATTCCCAGAAGCCTTAACCACTTCCTGTGTTGGCCAGGATTTCTGGGAGTTGCAGTCCAAAAACATCTGGGTACCCAAGTTTAAGAACCACTGTTCTAGATGACCATATGTAACAAGAGTCCTGAACTCAAGCTTTCGATCCATCACAGAAAATTTCATCAAACACATAACGGCCCAAACCTTCTTAACATTTAGAAATGAATTGCACTAACTCAAAGATCTCCACAGACCTTATCAGTTGTACACTGAGTTGCATAAGTTGTTCTCAAATTTCGAACTGCCTCCCATGTTCTTCCAGAAGTAGGGAAAGACCATTCTCTTCAGGCAGGTTTTTCCTTAGTGACTGTCTAGGAGGGTCCCCCCCTCAAATGTAACTGTTTCTGCTTTTATTGCTTTTATTAAAACTATCTACTAGTTTTAATATTATAGTTGTTTAATTTCTTAATATATTGTAATGATTTATTGGTTTTAGCTTTCAATATTGTTCTTTTTTAATTCTGTAGGCCAACTTGGCTCCTTACAAAGAAAGGTGGGATATAAATATTTTAAATGGATAAATATATAATAATACATGTATGTGGCAATATCTTAACTTGGGGTATTTACCTCCAAAATTTACCTGCATAGCTACACAAGGGGATTTTTGCTAGTGTCTAAAGAATAAAGGCTTGATGTGGAATGGAAATCATCTCATACTTCAATTTCTTCCTCATTCAGGTGTTATACGTGTAAATTCTGGTTTGATCATGCAGCTACTCACAAAATCATGCTCCCCCCCCCTTTCTGCTTTCTTGCTGTGGCACCTTTATGTGTCATATTACCAATCTGTTTGGTAAAATTCGGAGAACAATGAAGAACACTCATCTGAATGAGTGTAGTTTTGTTGCCCCTTGCACTATATACATAGAGAACCCTCAAAAAGCTATACTTCCCACAATACCCTAAGCTTCCCAAGAAGTACTGGGGGAGGAAGTAGGGGCCTCATGGCACAGTGGTTAAACCGCTGTACTGCAGCCAAAACTGTGCTCACGACCTCGGGTTCAATCCCAGGTAGCCGCTCAAGGTTGACTCAGCCTTCTATCCTTCTGAGGTTAGTAAAATGAGTACCCAGCTCGCTGGGGGGGAGCAATGTGTAGCCTGCATAATTAACTTGTAAACCGCCCAGAGAGTGCTTGAAGCACTATGGGGGGGAATATAAGCAGCACTTTTTTTTTTTTTTTTTGCTTTAGACATCTTACTGTCCAACTCAGCTAGGCAGCATGGCAGTCGCCTGGAGCAAGTAAGGTAGGTGTTATGGCCCATGAAAGGGGGGGGGCAGCTACACTGAAAGACCCCTTCATTTAGAGATGGGCATGAGCCGGTTCATTTTTTTAAAAATCTAAAATAAACATGGTTTGTCAAGACTAACAAACCATGAGCCATCATGAACCACCACTGTGCCGGCTCATGCCCATCTCTAGTACTGATCTATTCCAAACCAGAATGTTCTGATGCAGATTCTGCACAGGTGCAGAATCCATTTATATGACTCACAGAGACCACAAAGAAAAACAACTAATTACTATTACACTATTTTTAAAAAGCATTACGTGTTTTTAACGCACAACAAAGCACCTTAGCATCACAAGTAAACTAAAAAAAAAGATATTTTGATCCATATCGCAATCCAAAGAAAATATTTTAAACTATTAACAATGCAGAAAACTGCATTAAAATGGAAATGGGGAAAAATACAGTTAGAAATTTAAAGCTATACAAGAAAGAATGAACCAAAACAACACACCTAAATGTATGTCACCCACTAGAAACCATTCTTTCTTTACCTATAAATCTGTAAGCCACGTTAACATTTAAGACTTCTTAGCAATTTTGGTATTTTAAAATACAAACCTCTCTGCCTTTATTTATTTATTTATTTATTTATTTATTTACTTACTTACTTATTTACTTATTTATTTATT